TCTTGTCATCTGGTGTCTTGGACCTTACCTGAAAAAGGCCAAGGTCTCCCACTATATCTGGGGCCATCTCCAGTCGTCCTCATCTATATCTTACCACGGGACCCAGATGGGTCTGGAAGAGAGAGTGAGGCTGGTGACTTTCCACAGCCCTGCCTCACTTAAATCCAATTCACTTGCAAGTCAAGACATTACCTTCCTGAGATAATCGATCCTCTTCAACAATGAAGAGCAAACAGCAGCTATCCTATCCAGCTGTGTGTTATCTGCAAAGCTGTGCTTTTTCAAAATTATTAATATAAATGTTAAACAGCACCGGGCCAAATAGCTTCCCTTGAGCACTCCACTGATGTCCTGCCTACTGTACTGAAACTTTTCTCAAGCCAAAGACGAAGTCACTAGGATAGGGTTTTTGCCTTTAAGATGCAGAAAACTGACTAGAGAAAATTTAGGGGAGAGAAAGCTGGCCTCAGTCAGGAAGGCCCTGGAGTTTAAGCCCTACCTAGGATACATATTGGCCATGTGATTCTGAGTGTTGTTTGACTTCTCAATGGCCCCAGGCAGCTCTCTAGAGTTATAATCTAGAGTTTTGGCTTTGAAATCGTAAGTCAGGTTTAAAAAACCACCACAAATTGTTGACAGATGGATCATACTGGTTATCCATCTTATTTTATAAGATTATAGACTATTAGAATTAGAAGGAACTTCAGAACATAACAGTGTCAGCGCTGGAATCAAGTTCAATCTACTCCAATAAGTATTTATTGTGTACAAGGCACTGAACTGTGTTAGATAAACACTGGAGATACCAAAGGAAAAGTAAAAATATCCTCCTCATGGAGCTTATATTCTACTAGCAGAATATTATATTCACACAGTTAAATACATAGATGGCAGTTTGAGAGGAAAGCACAAACAGCCAGTGGGATCAGGAAAAATTTCCCACAGGAGCTGGCCCAGGAGCCGAGCCTGGAATGATGCTTTTAAGAGATTCTAAGAGATGATGAGGTCAGAGTGCATTCCAGGCATAGGGATGGACTTAGGAGATGGAATGATGAGTTTAGGGAATGGCAAATTTGTCTGGAATGAAGAGTGTATGAGGGGAGTAACATGAAATAACCCTGGAAAGATAGGCAGGAACCAGATTAAGAGCTTTGAATGCCAGGTTGATAAGTTTGGGTTTTATTCTAGAATCAACAAGGAAGAAGAAAATCCCTCAAAGGAAGTTCTCAAGCAGGGACTTTTACTTTAGAAATACTTTGGCAGCTTTTGTGGGGAATGGATAGGAGAAAAAAGAAACTGGAATCCAGGAGTCCAGTTAGGAAGTTATTACAACAGTCTAGGTGAGAAGTAGCAAGGGTCTGGACTAGCCCAGAGACCCTAGGAGAAAAAAGACAGCAGCTGTAAAATAGGTTATGGAGCTAGATCAATAAGAATTCACAACTGATCAGATCTGGGGAGTGAGGGAGAAGGAAGAGATTAGCATGATTGAAAAGTTGTAAAAATGAACGAAAGGAGTTAGGAGGGCAGGTTTAGAGGGGAAGGTAATAAGCTTTGGACACATTGGGTTTGAGATAACTATAGGGTAAACAGATGTCCAACCGGTGGCTGGTGATGTGGGAAAGAAACTAAAGACTGGACGAGAGAATCGAATCCACAGGAGCGAATGAAATCACCAAGAGAATTTAAAACAAGGCTTCTTAATCTTTTTTTGTATAGTAAACCCCTTTGGCAGTCTAATGAAACCTATGGACCAATCTCCAGAATAATGTTTTAAAACACACAAAATAAAGAGAAGTACAAAGAAAACCAATTATATTGAAATATTTATCAAAATATTGAAAAAAAAACCAACAACAGATATCCCCAAAATCTATCTGTGGATCTTAGGTTAAGAAAATCTCCCTTAGAATATGGATTAAAGTCATCAACCAGTCAGTCAACAAGCATTTATTAATCACCTACTATATACCAGGCCCCTTACTAAGGATTGGAGATACAAAAGCAAACAACAGTTTCTACCCTTGGGGAGCTCATAGTCTAATGGGGGATGCAACATGCAAACAACCAAGTATAGATAAAATAAAAATATAGGATTAATTGGGGATAATCTCTGAGGGAAGGTGCTGAGATTAAAAAGGAATGGGAAAGGCTCCTTGCAGTCCCAGTAAAGACTGGGACTTTAGCTGAGACTTACATGAAGAGAGGGAAGCCAGGAGGCAGAGATGAGGAGAAAGAAAGCTCTAGGTATAAGGGACAACTAGTGAAAATGCTTGGAGTGGGGGATGAGAGTGTCCTATGTGAGAAACAGCAATGAGGACAGTGTCACTGGATAACAGAGTGTATGGAGGGACATAAAATGTGAGGAAACTGGATAAAGTAAGATGGGGCCAGATTATGAAGGTTTCTTTAAAAGCTAAACATTTTATATTTTTTTTCCCTGTAGGCAACAAGGAGCTACTGGAGTTAACTGAAATGGAGGGGAGGGGGGAAGGTGACATAGATCAATTCGACCACTGAGTGGAAGATGGATTGGAGTTGGGGGAGAATTGAGGCAAGGACAGCAACTAATAGGCTATTGCAATAGTTTAGGGATGATGTGATAAAGACCTGCACCATGGTGGTAGCAGTGTCCAGGGAAGGAGTGTGATTGTAATGAAAACAGAAACAACAGAAATTAACAACTGATTAGATACGGTGGGTGAGAGAGAGGAATTGAAGAGGACAACCAAGTTGTGTGCCTGGGTAAGTGGGGGGATGGTGATACACTCAATAGAATAAAAAAGTTTGGAAGTGGGGAGGGCTTGGTGGGAAACATAATGAGTTGAGTTTTGGACATGTTTGAGATTTCTAGGGGATATCCAGTTTGAGATGTCTAACAGGAGGCTGGAAATGCGGGATTAAGATCAAAAGAAAAGTTCGGACTGGACAAATAGATCTGAGAATCATTAGCATAGAGATGACCATTGAATCTGTGGGAGCTGAGGAACTCACTGGGAACAGTATAGGAAAAGGTCTAACACAAAGCTCTGGATGACACCCACTATTCATGAGCATGACCTGGATGAAGAACCAGCAAAGGAGTCCAGGGAGTGATCTAATAGGCTCTTTAAGAGCCTAAAGAGGCAAAGGCTGCAGAGAACTCAAGGAGAAGGAAGACTGAGAAAAGTAGAAGGAAACGGGATCTTAAAAGTCAAATCTAAGTCTCCCTTTTTTTTTTAGAAGAGGACAACCTTCTACCTCACTGGTTATACAGAATGAAGGTCAACTTGCTATTTCTTTTGTTTTTTTTCCTTGAATCACTTATGGCATCTGATTAACCTTCTTGGACTCCCTTTCTGTGTCTACAGAACCCCTTTCACTTCTCATCAGCTATTTCTTTTCCTCCAGTGGAGAGGACAGTAAACTATCTGGGGCCTGTTTTTGTTTCTGTGCTACCAACAAGCTAAGAATAGTTTTTACATTTTTAAATGTTTAAAAATGTAAAAAAAGCCATCCACAGCTCAAGGGCCATACATACAAACATACAAATAAAATGCCTTATACCCTTGTCTTGACTACTCCAGGGGCAAGCTATTCAAACAAAAAAAGAAAAAAATTAGTAGCAGCAAATGTGTAAGCTCCTTGAGATCAGGAACTGTATTTTGCTTCTTTGTATCCCTAGTGCTTAATAAACGTTGATCAATTAGTGCTATCCAGAACCATAGACGAGCTCAAGTCCTACCTCAGACACTTACTGGTTGTACAACTCCAAGTTACCTAACCTCTCATGGGCTCAGTGAGACAGTATCCATCCATCTGTCAGTCAATCTATCTGTCTGTTAGTCTATCTATGTATACCTATCTTTCAATATGTCTATGTATCTGTCTGCCTATATCTCTATCTACTTGTCAGTCAATCAGTCTGTCTGTCAATCTATCTATCTACTTGTCAGTTAATCTATGTCTGTCTGTCAGTCAATCTGTCTGTCTATCATCTATCTATCTATCTATCTATCTATCTATCTACTTGTCAGTCAATCTGTCTGTCTATCTATCTATCTACTTGTCAGTCTATCCATCTGTCTGTCAATCTATCTATCTACTTGTCAGTTAATCTATCTGTCTGTCAGTCAATCTGTCTGTCTGTCTATCATCTATCTATCTATCTATCTATCTATCTATCTACTTGTCAGTCTATCTATCTGTCTGTCAATCTGTCTATCTATCTATCTACTTGTCAGTTAATCTATCTGTCAGTCAATCTGTCTGTCTATCATCTATCTATCTACTTGTCAGTCTATCTGTCTGTCAATCTGTCTATCTATCTATCTACTTGTCAGTTAATCTATCTATCTGTCTGTCTGTCAGTCAATCTGTCTGTCTGTCTATCTATCTACTTGTCAGTTAATCTGTCTGTCTGTCAGTCAATCTGTCTGTCTATCATCTATCTATCTATCTATCTTTGTCAGTCTATCTATCTGTCTGTCAATCTGTCTATCTATCTATCTACTTGTCAGTTAATCTGTCTGTCTGTCAGTCAATCTGTCTGTCTATCATCTATCTATCTATCTATCTACTTGTCAGTCTATCTGTTTGTCAATCTGTCTATCTATCTATCTACTTGTCAGTTAATCTATCTATCTGTCTGTCTGTCAGTCAATCTGTCTGTCTGTCTATCTATCTACCGGCCTGTCTATTTATCTATACATCCATGTATGTATCGATCTTCAGAGGTTTTCAGACTCAAAGTGCTCCACAAATGCTAGCTAGTGTTATCATCGTTATTAATACAGTCGTTATTACTATCTCCATTACTAGTGTTGTCCTGTGCACCGTAACTCTGTAAAGTCGGATCCACAGAAGGAGGTGACCAGCCCACGGTCCCACGGCAGGTGAGGCAGGGAGGTCCCGCCCCAACGAGGGCTCAGGGTACGCAGGGTTGCCGGGACACAGGGGTCACGGGTCAAGGGGAGGCCGAGGGAGCAGCTGCGGCTGCGCGCCCGCGGGAGCAACTTCCGCTTCCGGCTTCTCGACGTCATTTCCGCTTCCCCGCCTCCGGCCTCTTTCCGCGGGGGTCCAGAGGGTGTGAAGGAGGAGCGGAGCTGGGGAAGCGGGAGCGCGACCAGCCCCCCGGGCCCCGCCCCAGCCCCAGCCCGGCCCTGCCCGGCCCGGCCAACCCTCCCCTGCCGGCGCGGCGACCCCGCCCCGAGAGCCCAGCATGAAAGTGAGTGTGGGAGGGAGGCGGCCCCGGCTGGGCCGAGGGAGGGGGAGGGGACGTGGAAGGGGGAGGGCAGGGAGGGAGGGAGGGAGGGAGCCCGGAATGTCAGAGGACGCGGCGCGTGGGAGGGGCCTTAGGACGCCAGGAGAGGATGTCCGAGCCTCCCGAGGGCCGAGTCCGAAAAGCAGATCTCCAAGCGAAACAGAGGATCGGGAAAAGGGACCTAAGAGAGAACGTGCAGAGAAGAAGGGCGAGCCGAGATGCGGGGTCTAAGAAAAGGGGATGGGGGGGGACCGCGGGAGCCGAGAAGGCTTAGAACTGCCTAATGTCGAGAGCTCGTAAACTACGTAACGCAGGCTCTTACTGGGGAACTTTGGAACCCCTAACATCAGGGCTGGAAATCAGAGCTTCGAACATAGAGCATCGGACCTGGCGGGACCTTTAGACGTACAACGTGGATTGTAAGAGCTGGAAGGCACTGATAGAACATAGAACGTAGAACATCCGAGATGGAAACAGATTTAGCCGTAGAAAATACATTGTCAGAGCTAGAAGGAACCTTAGATGTAGAGCAGAGAAAGTCAGAAGTTTTAAGTCTTCAAGTTATAGATTATCAGCACTGACAGAGATCTTAGAACTAAGAACACAGAATGTCAAAACTAGAAGGAATCTTAGACATACAACATGGAATGTCAGAGTTTGGGGAGGATTGAGAGCATAGAATGCCAGAGTTGAAAGGTACCTTAAAACAGCAGAGAACATACAGTTTTGGAGCTGGAAGGGGTCTTAGGATGTAGAGTATTCAGAGCTGCAAGATACCTAAGAACATAGAACGTCAGAGCTGGGAGGAACCTTAGAACATAGAATGTCAGAGCTTGGAGGGACCTTAAAATACAGAATGTCAGAGCTGGGAGGGACCTTAGAATATGGAATATCAGAGCTGGCAGGGATCTGAGAACCTTAGAACATAAAATGTCAGAGCTGGGGGGAACCTTACAACAGAGAATGTCAGAGCTGGGAGGGACCTTAGGACATGGAATGTCAGAGCTGGGAGGGATCTTAGAACCTCAGAACACCCCTGCCTTAGAACATAGAATGTCAGTGCTGGTAGGGACCTTAGAATACAGAATATCTGAGACAAAACACAAAATATCAGAACTGGAAGAGATTGTAAAGATCACCTTACCCAACTCCTTTATTTTACAGATTGGGAAAATGAGTCTCAGAAAAGACAAGTGACTTTTTTGAGACCACAGAGGTAGTACATTGACATATCTAGAATTCCAACCCAGATCTTCTCATTTTGAACTTGGTGCTCATGCCACTACACAAGAATGATAAATAGGGAGTATTGTATCTAAACTGTTTATCTTCTCCTTGCCTGCTACAAACACTGCAGGAACTTAATACATTTTTGCAGAATTTAATTATTATGGAGCTGTCCTGGTGCTTGTAAGTCAAATTGTCCATGAAATCTCAGTCAGAAGTGACCATCAAGGCTTATCCTTCTTTAGGAGTAGGCTGTCCCTGTGTCCTGTGTCCCATTTCTCAGGAAATGGTTATCCAGATTGTCTTTGAAGACCTCTTTAATGGTCAGCGTTGTGAAGTGGCAGCAATTCTGATTTGAAGTTGGAGACCATGAGATTTTACCTTAGAGACTCTAGGCCTAGAACCCATCACCTTGGTTACTGGGAACAACAAGGTGTTTCACCTTGATCCCAGGTTTTTAACTCTAGGCCCAGTATGTCTTCACTATATTACATGATAGAGGGCAGAAGGAATGAGAAGTAGGAAATGGAAAGAAGAAAAGAGGAGAGAAAGACATGGAATGATAGAGAGAAGAGGATTTCTGTGGGAAAGTGGGTCATTGAGAAGGTTAACAGAAGTGAGATGAGGACAGAGATAACCCCTTCTCCCCAAACACTAACCACAATTTTCTTGACAGAAGTTGTTGGGCCTGTTGGACTAAGAGATGGCCTCGGGTTGGGGTTGGGGAATGAGATGTAGTGGATCTAAGAGGGGGACAGTGGAGTCATAGGGTATCAAATCAATAAGAGTTGTGAGCACCTGAGTCTGTGCAGTAGCCACCAAGAAAGAGAAGGGAGATAAAGTGCAGCGTACTCTCCTGGGAGGGTTGTTTTGTTGTATCACTACCAGGAGCTACATCTCTAATGTTAACATAGTCCTGGGTCTAAATGTCACACCTATACTGTCAGAAAAGTCTTTCTCCACCTAGATCTGTAGCTTTTTCTCCAGAGAACAGAGAGCTGATCAAAGTGCTTCAGCACTTCTATTTTGAGTATTCTTCTCATCTTAATTGCGATGTTAAGAGGAAAGTTAGTCACTGTGAAATGTGTCCAGCAAACCAGGTTTAACACATGACTCATAAAAAAATAAAATGTTATATTTACTGAAGATCTTTGTTATACTTGTTAAGAACATGAGACACTTGCTGAAGCTAGGGCCGCAGGCATTATTGTGGGTTAAAGTAACACTTTTATCAAAAACACATGGGATAAATAGTCTGAATAGTCGTTATCTCCTGATGAACTGTTTCAGAGTTGCAGAAGGGACCTCAGTGGTCACGAGCATCATCATTATAATAAGTATGTGTATGTGTATGTATGTATATATCACCTTAAGGTTTGCAGAGCGCTTTTTGGACGTAGATACATAGACACATACATATATGTGGTGTATCTTTGGATACTTAAAACAATCCTGTGAGCTACATGTTATAACATTTTATAGATGGGGTAACTGTTCCAAAGAGGTTAAGTTGACCCAGCTAATTTCTGAGACAGCATTCCAACCCATACCTTCTGACTCCAAAGTACCCCAGAGTATCCCTTCCACCATATTGCCTCATCTAATCCAATTTGCACCTGACTAGAAATCCCTTCTAAGACATTACCAACAATGGATCATCCAGTCTGTATTTGGATAGCACTAGTGAGAGGAACTTTACCTCCTGAAGCAGCCCATTCCATTTTACAGGAAGTTTTTCCTTTTGAACTAAAATCTCATTCTGCAGTTTCTAGTAAGTATACCCCCCCAAATCATCCCAAATGTCCTTAATTGAAGCAGTTGCCTGGCAGCATTAAAGCCTATCTTCACATCTCCACCAGCCCCATTCATTTTTGTTCATAGTGACATCTTTGATGCTGTTTAGCCTGAATTCTTTTTTTTTGTAGGGTGCAGCCGAGGCCCCCAGGTAACTGAGAAGTCGCGGAATCCTCTTAACTTGGTACAACTTGCAGTTTTGCTTGTGTAATGGACCGCATTCGGGGGGGAGAGATGCTGATGTTTTCTAAATTGGGGAGAGTCAGTTACTGAAGTGAATTAAAAATTCTCACAGACACATGTACCAGTCGTGTCCTCATTGCCACATCCCACGTGACTGTCTGAATGTGTGTACTGTTTCTGTGTAAATTTGGCAGAATTTTCACAGAAGGTTTTTGAAGAGTGGCCACACCGTCTGATTGCACAGCAGTTAAATGGTGAAGTCTCACCTGCTTGCTGTCTAAAGACCTTAAACCAAGCAACATTTACTGAGTATCTTGGCCTAGGACATGACAGCTGTTTACTCTCCAAAAACCTGCACCAGTGGTGCACTTCATCCTGAAATGGTTGCCCAGGCATAGTGAATAGATACCTGTCTGGTGGACTAGTTGAAACTGTTCTCACTTAACACATTTCACCATGCAGACATGCTTATTCAGGAGACCCATCTCATCCCATTATTTAAAATGTGCCCAGTGTTGAATAAGAGCCACAGGAGCTTGTATGTCATCATGCATAACAAACAACAGTCCAGAAATGTGTGCTCCCATGGATCCCAAAGCACTCGCCCACCTGCCACAAGGCCCAGCATGTGTGGGTTTGTTTGCCAGGAACCTCTAGAGTTCTACAGCCCAGTTTCTAAAGCCCATTGACAAGGAGTGATATATCAGTCTACTGCCATGTCTCCAAGAGCCTCCAGTAGCAGCACACAAATTCCTCACTGGCAGAGAGTTCAGAACACAACCATCTGCCAGTAAGATGGTGATAACTGGGTTTGGGGACTAGGTCATTCCTGGGGTGGTATACTTCCATGAAGGCAAGAATATGGTGACAACTATCACCTTAGGGAACTCTTATGGCACAGTCAAGGCAGCAATCCTGTCTAGAGGGGCACAGTGCTTAAGAATCATTCTGCAGCAGGCTAATCCTCTTCCCTACCTTGCCAAAGCCCCTTGGGATTGCATAGACGAATGGAATTTGAACTCCTACCCCATCCGCTATATAGCCCTCATGTTGTATCTTCAGATTTCCACATTTTGAGGCCTTATGTCTTAAGGGGATTCAAGTTCAGGAATAATACAAATGATCAGAATGTTATACATAATTGGTTCTGCTCTTTACCAAAAATATCTTCTGATGGTAACAATAAGCTTGGCAGTTGTTGGAACAAATGTGCTGAAATAGTAGCATATTACTTTGTTGTGGTTTTTTCTTTTCATTCTAAACTTAACACCAAAAAATATCATTTCTATACACAAAGCAGAACTCAAGAGGACTGTGTATGAAACCTTCATTTAAATCTGTAAATCTTTACTTTATAACACTTGCTTTTAGAAATGTTTATAATGAATTCCATACACTGCTTTCAAAACTATCCTACTTGTCTTTGCTTCCTTCTGAACGACCCTCCATTCTCTTGTGAGCATTTTGAAATGTTTCAGTGGCCCTCTTTTTTTGCATCACTGTTGTTAATTCCCCCTTCTGCTTCCCAACCTCTCAATTTAAAAAGCTAGAGAAAGAAAGAAAAAAGAGTCCCTGGAATAGGTATGCCTAGTCAAGCCAGACAAATCCAATCAGTGACCATGTCCAGACGTATGTCTCCTTCTTCACTCTGAGCCCTTCACCTGTGTCAGGAGATGGGCAGCATGTCCTGTCATGGGTTCTCTGGAGGCCTGGTTTATCACACATTGATTGAATTCTCCAGTTCTTTCAAAATTGTTTTT